GGACTCTGAGGCTGTGTTGAGGGGGACTCTGAGGCTGTGTTGAGGGGGACTCTGAGGCTGTGTTGAGGGGGATCTGAGGGTGTGTTGAGGTGGACTCTGAGGCTGTGTTGAAGGGGACTCTGAGGCTGTGTTGAGGGGGACTCTGAGGCTGTGTTGAGGGGGATTCTGAGGCTGTATGAGAAGGAGTCTGAGGTTGTGTTGAGGGGGATTCTGAGACTGTGTTGAGGAGAATCTGGGGCTGGATTGGGCCTCAGTGAGGAAGAGTGGCGAGTCCTATGTCTTCTGTGGACACAGAGGGGAAGGGAGTCCCAGAGCCCTGTTGGGCCCCCAGTGGTCTAGTCCAGCCCCCTCCCCACTGGGCAGATAAAACAACCAAAGCCCAGAGAGGGAGGGGACTTGCCCAGTCACCCAGCCAGTTAGCGGCGGGTCAGGAGGACATGGCACTGTCAGTTTGGACACTGAGGGATGAGAGGTAGCCCATGGGCACCGCGGAAAGGGCAGTGTTAGTGATGAAGTGACGTTCACTGCTTCACATTCACACTTCATGCTGTGTACCCGGCTCTCCATGAGCAGCCCCTCTCCCCATTTCACAGCAGGGATTTTAAAGAGGGAATGACTGGCCCAGGGCTGCTTGGCAGCAGTTCCAATTAAGCCGGCACCCTTAATCTTCAGGCCACCACTGCCTCTTGCAGCCCCGGGATGGAGGGGCCCTGACGAGGCCTTGGGGACAGAGGACATTCCAAGGGGCCAGGGTTCAGGGCAGGAGACGGTGCACCAGGGAGACTGCCTGGATCAGGCCTATGGGGGCCGCCCAGCCCCCAGCCCAGCCCTGTGCTCAGCCCGTGGGGCAGGGCTGGGACTTGCAGGTTTCTGCCCCAGCTGGCGGCTGGGCCACTGCTCTGCACTGGGCAGTGGGCATCATCCTTGGGAAACCACCCCGGGCCTCCACACAGGGCACCACTCACTCCCACAGGCCACTCCCCCAGGAGGCACTGCACGGGCCCAAGTCCCCCATGGCCCTGCGGCAGAGGGAGGAGTCAGCATCAGTCACTGGCCAGGTCCCCAGGCTGGCTCGGGGGGAGGTGGTGGGGGCAGGCGGATTTGTCCAGCAGACAGGCTGACAGTCTTCTCCCTGGTCTGAGTCCGGCACTGGAGCACTGTGCAGGTGCAGCCAGCCCAGCCCACCGGCTCTCTGGTGTCCCCAGGACGGCCCTTCCCAGAGGGCTGGCCTTGCAGAACAGCCTCAGACACCCAACTCCCGTACACAAGTGCAGCCGGGGGCCGCCCTGCCTGCATCCCGACAGGCCCTGCTCTCCTGCTCCTGCCGACTGCGTCTGCACCGTCCCTCCCTCCCAGTCCACAGAACCGCCCTCCCAGGCGGCGCCATTACGTCCATCTTACACGACAAGCTCGGCTCAGAGAGGGTCGAGTGCCCTCAGTCAGCATGGTGGCAGGCGTGGGCCACCTCACCGACACTGTCACGGTGTCTGCCTCGAGTCTCAGTCCTCGCTTGAAAGTGGGGGCATGGACAGAGCCCCCTTCACGGAGCAGTTTCCAGGGTGCAACAAGATCACAGCACGTGCCCCTGGACCTCTGAGCTAGGGTACCATGGCTGACCCCCCACCCACTGAGAGCCTGGAGCCGTGCTCACCGCATGGGGCAGGGCACAAGGGTGCAAGGCTCCAGCCGTGCTGGCGGCTTCAGACTCCCACTGCACTGGGCAGGCTCCACCCACTTGTTCTGGGCCTTGTCCAGACAGCTGTAGGTCACCCAGCGCTGCCCTGGGAGGGGAGAGCAGAGTTAGGCCATGTCTGGACAAGGGGCACTGGTGCTGCAAGCCAGCCCTTCCCCAGGCCTCACCTGCCCCACAGCTCACCGAACAGGACCCCGCCACGGCGGCCCACGTCCCCGCATGCGGCTGCTTCGGCTGGAAATAGCTGAAGGTGATGTCTGGGCGGGCGAGGCTGCCGTACTCCTCACCGTAGCGCCTGTAAACCTGCACCAAGATGGACAGAAGAGCTCCGGCCTATGCCCAGTGGGCAATGAGGGTTGATGCTCACAGCCACCTCCTCCAGGAAGCCTTCCAACTTCTCATCCCTCAATCCCTGAGTTCTTTCGTTTACTAAGCAATCACCAATGCTGACCCAATGCCAGGCCCTGGATAGCACAGTGCACAGAACAGAGTCCCAGCCTCAACGAGCCCAGAGTGGGCTGCGGGGCCAGGTGTCTGTGTCTTTTCAACACCAACTGCAAATACAGTTCTTCTTCCGACCCTAACCACCCAGAGCTAGGTCAGCTCTCACAAGTCCACCCAGGACTTCTAACACCAGCTGCAACGTCCACAATACCCTCACTTCTGACCTGCTGGCTACAAGTTTGGGGGTTCTCACTACCCTTTCAGGCTCAGTAATTTGCTAGGACGACTCACAGAACTCAGGAGAGCACTATACTTACAATTACAGCGTTATCATAAAGAATGCAAATGAAGAGACACCTAGGGCGAGGTCTGGGAGGGTCCCCAAAGTGAAGCCTCCGTGTCTCCAAGGACACGTCACCCTCCAGAGCATCGATGCCTATCACCAACCAGGAAGCTTATGAAGCTTCAGTGTCCAGAGCTTTACTGGGGTCTCATTCGACAGGTATGATGGATTGAACCACTACCCACGCGGTTGAACTCAACCTCCAGCCCCTTCTCCTCCAGAGATCCAGCTGATATCACACCATGGGTCTTGCTGGCCTGGCCAACATGAGTCACCTCATTAGCATAAACTCCCAGGTGTGGTCTGGAGCCCTCAAGGACAACAGACACTCTACTCAGTCCAGCAATTCCAAGAAGCTCCCTCCCAGGAGCCAAGGACAAAGCCCAAATTCTTTGGGTGAAGTAGCAGATAATCATAAAGCAGTTGGTAGATGGAAGGGTAGAGATATGCACAGGGCATTATGGGAACCCACGGGAGGCTTCCTACATTATGGGGGCAGATCACAGTGGAAGTCAGGAGAGATTTTGGGAGGAAAACAGCAGAGGCAGGGGGTAGAGGGGCCGTCCTGCACAGGGCAGCTTGAGCAAGGGCCTGGAGGGGAGATGAGCCCCAAGGGGTCAGCAGGAAGGGACTGGACCATGGGAGGGCCTTGTGGCCAGCTAGCAGCCTGGGCCTGCTTGCCTTTCTACTAAGGTGCCTCTGGGTGGACTCGAACTGCCAACCTTTTGGTTAGTAGCTGAGTGTGTTGGCTGTTTGCACCACCCAGGGGTTCCTCCACACATAGTAGCCCCCCAAATTACTGCTCAGTGAGTGATGGAGTGGGTGGGTGAGTGAGTGAGGAACAAATGAACCAACAGCAGAGCCCCTCCCAGCCCTCCAGTCACCTGTATCTCAATGTCTTCCTGAACAGGTCCCTGGATGCGTAGCTCCTCCCGGTGGGGCAGCTGGTCCTCAGTGAGGGCCACCCTGTACTCCAGGCGGCTGTCCTCCAGCAGCGAGGGGTAGGTAGTGCTGGGGGAGATGCTTGCGTTCCCAGCCACAACGTACCGTCCTCGGATCCTCACCGCTGTGGGGGAGCAGGAGCCCTCAGGACGGCGGGGCCCCAACTTCCTTATAAGGGAGCGTTTTTAAACTCTTCACCCTCAGAGGGTGGGCCCCAGCGGGACTGCCTTTCCAGACAAGGTCTTTGGGGTGGACAAGGCAACGGCCAGCAGAGTAAGGAGGGCCTTCCACCCCCAAGCCAGGCCTTCCCTGGGAGCAGAACCTCCTGGCATCCCGGTCCGGTGGTCTCCCTGCGCGGCACGCCCTCCACCCTGGGCACACGCGTCTGACCACAGAAGGTTCTTTCCAGAACCTGAGGAATGCTGGGGGTCTGCTTCCCCTCAGCAACGGCACACACAAGACTTTACAGGCGTTTCCAGGGCTTCAGGACCTCAGGGTGTGCACCCACCCCACGGATGCAAAGGTCAGGCCTTCTGGAAGGAAGGACTGTGCATCCTCTATCAACTCACCCAAGTGTGTGAAGAGAGGCCTGTGGTTGACAACGTAGACACTGGTCAGGTTGGGGGTGACCGTGAGGAATGTCACATACTCTGGAAGGAAGCGGGGGGGTGGGAGTCCATGGGGCTCACAAGTTGTATCACAGTCAAAAGGGAGCAGATTTCAGCTGCACAGAAAACAGGGCCTTTTAACACTAAAAGCTAGCAATGCAAAGGGCTGCCTCAGAGCTGGTGAGTCCACTGTCACCAGGAGCAATCAAGCCAGGCCGGGAGGAGGGGCCAGGTCCAAGTCCTCACCAGAGTGGGGGGCACGCCAGAGGCGGATGGGCCTCAAGTCCCCACTAGGCATCTAAGAACCAAAATTTGCAAAGGCCTTGACTCTTTTACGAGTAGATCAGATTCAAGAGTCTCCTGGTGAGAACACCTTCTTGCTAATCGCAGCTCTCCTGAGGTGACTGCTCGAGTGGGAGAGAAGAGGCTGGCCTGCCAGAAACTGCACAGTCCTGTATCTGTATATCCCAGCATCACAGCCACAGTGAGCTACCGTGACCGTTGCGTCCCGAACCCCAGCGACTTATCCCGAAATCTGAGCGCACCGTGGGAGGGAGCAGGGAGCAAGAGAATGCCCCGAGGTCTCTGCCGGCTCCCCAAGTCTCAGGCTGGGCAAGCGGGTGGGCGCCAAGGCCAGCCCACCCGGTTCCTCAGCAGCTGGGGGAGCGGCCCCTGCACCCCAAGGGAGCCCGTTACCTCTGGCTCTTCCGGCCGAGAAAGAGCCATTCTGTGGGCTGCAGGTGCTGTTGTCTCCTCTGCACACCTGGCACACGTCACGTACCTGCCCGGAGTCCATCCTGCCATCGCAGCCCAGGATCTGTGTGAAGGGAGGAAGTGAGGCTCCAGGTAACTGGAGGGCGGGCCTCAGTGACCGCCAAACACTCCCAGCTCTGAGGCGAGGCGGCTCGAGGTCATAACTAGCCAGTGCCCTTTCACACACCTACCATCTACCAGGAGCCCTGCTGGCACAATGGTTAAGCATTCGGTTACTAACCAAAATGTCAGCAGTTGGAATCCACCAGCCTGGAAACCCTACGAGGCAGTTCTACTCTGTCCTGTAGAGTCACTATGAGTCGAAATCAACTTGACGGCAACGGGTTTAGGACCATCCACCAAAGAGGCGCTCACGGGGCTGGAATGACCTGCCTGAGGCCACAGCGAGGCTCTCAACACACGGCTGCGTCCAAGCTGACCCAGGGTCCCAGCACCACTCCCAGGCAGCTCCCACGAACCTCCCCACTAGAAGTACCCTCTGCACTTCGGCTTCCGACGGGACAGACACCCACCCCCGCACCTACCCTGCAGCTGCCCGACAGGCACAGGCTGAGGGTCCCGTCCTCCCTCGGGCCACTCGGCACACAGCGGGTCCCATCCACGAAGCTGTCCCCACGCCTCATGATGAAGCTCTCGCCCACAGCCCGGCACATGTGCCTGCACAGAGCATCCCCTGGCAGCAAGGGGCAGAACCAGGATTTGATCCGAGGTCTGTCTCTGAGCAGCCCCGTACGTCAGCACCGGAGGTGGTGGGCCGGACCCCCGACTCCCCCACCCCGAGGGTCTCCGGCCTGTCTCCCACACCCAGCCCTACCTTGGCTGTACTGCGCGGCCGAGCTCCAGCGGTAGAAGGTGGTGCCGCCCTCGGGGAGGAGCAGCTGCTGCCCTTCGGTCTGAGCGCACTGCTCTGACATGAACTCCAGCTGGCTGGTCCCACAGGCCTGCCGGGGAGGGGCAGAGAACAAGCACAGGAGGGCCCGCGGGGGACCCAGGGCAGCCGGGGTCACTGGGAGCCGCCGGCACAGCCCCCTGCAATGCGGGGCCCGGAAGGGGTGTGGCCCCGCTCCTGGCTGAGCCTCAGTTCCCAGCTCTGTCGGTGGGGTGAGAAGAGCCCCTGCCTGTTACAACGGAGGGAACAATTGAGGGAGAAACTGTGACAGCCAGGGCAATGGCTCTGTCTTGGAGCCAGAGGCCTGAACTGCAGAAAACCGGGCCCTTGTGACACTCGCTGTGTGATACACATTTAAAAAACAGCTGCCGTCAAGTCCACGCATGGCAACCCCATGCGCGACAGAGTAGAGCTGTGCTCCACAGGGTTTTCAATGGCTGATTTTTCAGTAGATTGCCAGGCCTTTTTTCCAAGGCACCTCTGGATGGACTCGAACCTCCAATTTTCAGGTTAGCAGTCGAGCGCTTAACCATTTTTACCACTCAGGGAGGCAGGTAGTTAGGAAAGTGGTAACCAGCGGCCGGGGAGCCAAGGCCCAGCACAGCCAAGGCCCGGCGCAGCGAAGGCCTGGCACAGCAAAGCCCAGGACCATGCAAAGGGAGTACTGAGGGTGTTGTGGATTGAATTGTGCCCCCAAAAAATATGTGTTGTAAATCCTAACCCCTAAGACGTTGTTGTTAGGTGCTGTCGAGTCAGTTCCGACTCATAGCGACCCATGTGCTACAGAAGGAAACACTGCCCGGTCCTGCGCCATCCTCACAATTGTTGTTATGCTTGAGTCCATTGTTGCAGCCACCGTGTCAATCCATCTCGTTGAGGGTTTTCCTTTTTTTCACTGACCCTTTTATCAAGCACAATGTCCTTCTCCAGGGACTGATCCCTCCTGATAACATGTCCAAAGTACATGAGACATGGTCTTTCCATCCTTGCTTCTAAGGAGCACTCTGGCTGTCCCTCTTCCAAGACAGATTTGTTCGTTCTTCTGGCAGTCCATGGTATATTCGCTATTCTTCGCCAACACCGTAATTCAAAGGCGTCAGTTCTTCTTCAGGCTTCCTTATTCATTGTTCAGCTTTCATGTGCAGATGAGATGATTGAAAACACCATGGCTTGAGTCAGGCACACCTTAGTCCTCAAGGTGACATTTTTGCTTTGTAACACTTTAAAGAGGTCTTTTGCAGCAGATTTGCCCAATACAGTGTGTCTTTTGATTTCCTGACTGCTGCTTCCATGAGTGTTGATTGTGGATCCAAGTAAGACGAAATCCTTGACAACTTCAATCTTTTCTCTGTTTATCATGATGTTGTTATTGGTCCAGTTGTGAGGCTTTTTGTTTTCTTTATGTTGAGGTGTAATCCATACTGAAGGCGATAGTCTTTGATCTTCATCGGTAAGTGCTTCAAGTCCTCTTCACTTTCAGCAAGCAAGGTTGTGTCATCTGCATATCACAGGTTGTTAATGAGTCTTCCTCCAATCTTGAAGCCGTGTTCTTCTTCATATAGTTCAGCTTCTCCAATTATTTGCTCAGCATACAGACTGAACAGGTACGGTGAAAGGATACAACCCCGACGCACATCTTTCCTGACTTTAAACCACTCAGTAGCCCCTTGTTCTGTTTGAACAACTGCCTCTTGATCTACGTACAGTTTCCTCATGAGCACAATTAAGTGCTCAGAAATTCCCCCTTCTTCGCAATGTTGTCCATAATTTGTTATGATCCACACAGTCGAATGCCTTTGCATAGAAAATAAAACACACGTAAACATCTTTCTGGTATTCTCTGCTTTCAGCCAGGATCCATCTGACATCAGCAGTGATATCCCGTTTCCATGTCCTCTTCTGAACCCGGCTTGAATTTCAGGCCATTCCTTGTTGATGTATTGCTGTGGCCTCTTTTGAATGATCTTCAGCAAAATTTTACTTGTGTGTGATATTAATGATAGTGTCCAATAATTTCCACATTCGGTTGGATTACCTTTCTTTGGAAGAGGCATAAATATGGATCTCTTCCAGTCAGTTGGCCAGGTAGCTGCCTTCTAAATTTCTTGGTATAGATGAGTGGGCACTTCCGGCACTGCATCCATTTGTTCAAACATCTCAACTGGTATTCCATCAATTTCTGGAGCCTTGTTTTTCACCAATGCCTTCAGTGCAGCTTGGACTTCTTCCTTCAGTACCATCGGTTCCTCATCATATGCTATTTCCTGAAATGGCTCAACATCAATCAACCAATTCTTTTTGGTATAGTGACTCTGTGTATTCCTTCCACCTTCTTTTGATGCTTCCTGCATCGTTCAGTATTTTGTCCATAGAATCCTTTAAAATTGCCACTCAAGGCTTGAATTTTTTTCTTCAGTTCTTTCGGCGTGAGAAATGTCGAGCATGTTCTCCCCTTTTGGTTGTCTACCTCCAGGTCTTTGCACACGTCATTGTAATACTTTACTTTGTCTTCTCCAGCTGTCCTTTGAAATCTCCTGTTCAGCTCTTTTACTTCATCGTCTCTTCCATCTGCTTTAGCTACTCGACATTCAAGAGCAAGTTTCAGAGTCTCTTCTGACATCCATTTTGGTCTTTTCTTTCTATCTTGTCTTTTTAATGACCTCTTGCTTTCTTCGTGTATGATGTCCTTGATGTCATCCCACAACTCGTCTGGTCTTCGGTCATTAGTGTTCAGTGCATCAAATCTATTCTTGAGATGGTCTCTAAATTCCAGTGGGATATACTCAAGGTCATGCTTTGGCTCTCATGGACTTGTTCTAATTTTCTTCAGCTTCAACTTGAACTTGCATATGAGCAATTGATAGTCTGTTCTGCTGTCGGCCCCTGGCCTTGCTCTGACCGATGATATTGAGCTTTTCCATCATCTTTTTCCACAGATGTAGTCAATCTGATTCCTGTGAATTCTACCTGGCAAGGTCCACGTGTATAGTCTCTGTTTATGTTGTTGAAAAAAGGTATTTGCAATGAAGACATTGTTGGTCTTGCAAAATTCTATCATGCGATCTCCGGCATCTTTTCTATCACCAAGGCCGTATTTTCCAACTACCAATCCTTCTTTGTTTCCAACTCTCACCTTCCAATCACCAGTAATTATTAATGCATCTTGATTGCATGTCCGATCAATTTCCGACTGCAGAAGTTGGTAACAATCTTCAGTCTCTTCATCTTTGGCCTTAGTGGTTGGTGCATAAATTTGAATAATAGTTGTATTAATTGATCTTACTTGTAGGCGTATGGATATTATCCTATCACTGACAGTGTTGTACTTCAGAATAGATCTCGAAATGTTCTTTTTGACGATGAATGCAATGTCATTCCTCTTCCCGGCATAGTAGACCATATGATTGTCCGATTCAAAATGGTCAATACCAGTCCATTTCAACTCACTAATGCCTAGGATATCGATGTTTATGTGTTCCATTTCATTTTTGATGATTTCCAATTTTCCTACATTCATACTTCGTACATTGCACTTTCCAATTATTAATGGATGTTTCAGCTATTTCTTTTCATTTTGAGTCATGTCACATCAGCAAATGAAGGTCCCGAAAGCTTGACTCCATCCACATCGTTCAGGTCGACTCTAGTTTGAGGAGGCAGCTCTTCTTCCCCAGTCATCTTCTGAGTGCCTTCCAACCTGAGGGGCTCATCTTCCAGCACTATAGCTATGTTCTGCTGCTATTTATAATGCTTTCACTGGCTAATTCTTTTCAGAAGTAGACCACCAGGTCCTTCTTCTTAGTCTGTCTTAGTCTGGAAGCTCTGCTGAAACCTGTCTACGATGGGTGACCCTGCTGGTGTTTGAATACCGGTGGCATAGCTTCCAAAATCACAGCAATACGCAAGCCCCCACCCACGGTACGACAAACTGACAGAAGTGTGGGGGCCTAACCCCTATCCCTGTGGTTATAAACCCATTTGGGAATGGGTTTTGTTATGTTAATGAGGCAGGATTAGTGTAGCGTGTGTCTTAAATCAATCTCTTTTGAGATAGAAAAAGAGGAGATTGAACAAGGAAGCATGGAAGCACAGTTGGGGGAAGATTGAGGCCAAGCCACAGGAAGATCACCAAGGAGCCAAGGAATAGAAGCTGAAAACAGACAAGGACTCTCCCCCCAGAGCCAGCGGAGAGAGAGCGCCTTCCCCTAGGGCCACTGCCCTGGACTTCTAGCCTCCTCAACGGAGAAAATACATTCTGTTTGTTACAGCCGCCTACTTGTAGTATTTCTGTTACAGCAGCACTCGATAACTAAGACAGAGGGGGAGCAGATTTGAACTCTACGTAAAAGGAATCCTTGGCAGGGTGTTGCAGGACGGGGGGACGGTGAGTGTCTCTTTAGCTGGATGCAGCCTGAACTGCTCACCCCCTCGGGCGGTCAGGGAGCAGGCAGCAGCATGGAGGAGGGGGTGGGATGCATACGGGGCTGCTGGTCATTGGAAGCGCGGCCCAGTTTGCGCACACGGGTCCCAGGGTCAGTATTAACAGCACCCCCTTCACCCTTAAAAGCGCCAGGTGTGACCCACAAGTTATGGTCTCCCAGGACCTCAGCCCCTGCAGGGCCCAGGCCACCCCACCCACCCCGGAAGCTGTCCTACCTGGGTGTTGCACAGCTCAGCCTGGAGGTCAGCGCCTGCGCATGCATGCCCCCCAAAGGCAGGTCTGAAAATGCCCATGAGGGGTGAGAGGGGCCCCAGACACCAAACCTAGGAGTCTGGGGCTGCCACCCTCCCTCTGTACCCCGCACCGGTACCTGGGGTTGTTACACTGCCGTCTCCTGGTGACCACGCCGCCTCCGCAGGAGCGGGAGCAAGGACTGGGGGGCCCCCAGCTGGACCAGTGCCCGTGCACTGCAGGCAAGGGGGGCAGCTCCGCCAGTGAGTGACAGCGCCCCCTGGAGCACCACTGCAAGGCGAGGCAGCTCTGGCTCTGCATCCACAGCCCCCAACACACATACACCCCACCACGCTGTGTCACACCTCCAACCCCAGGGGCAGGCGGACAGGCGAACAGGGGCTGAGGGCTGCGCATCAGCAGAAAGGGGGGGACGGGTGGAGGCAGCGAGAGGGGGCTGCGCAGGGAAAGCTCAGGCAGCCTGTCACTGGGAGTTTCTTCTCTGTAAAGACACAGGCCTAGCTCCAGGGCTCGGGAGAAGTGCGATGTAGCACATGCCCTGTGCTGGGCTGGCAGGCATGCTCAGTGAACACCCACTCGCTCTGCTGCAGCAGAGGTCAAGAGTGAGGGCTCTGGCTTCAGAGATGGGATTTAATCCCCCACCCTCCCTGGGGGAGTCACAGAGCAGGTCTCTAATCCAGAAACACCATCCAGTCTTCCAGGCCTTGTGGCGGGTGGGTGAGCTCTTGGGAGGCTAGCCACCAATGACGAGGCTGGTCACATATCCCCAGATCGTAATCTGCCCATCTCTCAACCAGGTGGTGACCATGGGGGACAGGCAGCCCCAGGCTCTTTGCCTCAGTTACCAACCTCCTCCTGCCTCCCCCAGGAATGAGGACCACCAAGCTGCAGGTGCCCTGTGCAAACACACGCACACACACAAACACGTCCACACCCACCCACGTTCACACACACACACACACACACACATACGCATACACACCTGCATGAATACAGACACACATACATACACACAGACGCGTGCACATACATGCATGTACACACATGCTCACAGGAGCACACACACGCAGGCACACACACACGCTCATTCACTCCCAGCCTGACCTTGTCCACACCACATTCCGTCCCGTCCAGGAGGGGGATGAGAAGGCGGCTACAGCTGCTGAGGTCCAGGGGGTCTGTGTGGCAGGAGAGAGCCTGGCACATGTCCTAATGGGAGACGGGCCAGCTGATGGGTCGCCTGTCCGCAACGGCCTTAACTGTCCCTCCCAGAGCAGGGGACACCCTGACACAGCCATACACTGCTCTGTGGGCAGTGGGGGTGGGGAGGGAGAGGCAGGGCCATCCCCAAGCACAGGGACAGTGCCCACAGGGCACATAACTTCATGAAAATGTTTTAAGTCAGAAAAGAAGATGACACTTTAAGTCAAAGAAAACTTTCTGTTATGTAATATTCATATATTTGTATTTATCCCAATGAACATAAAATTGTATATAGTTTATTAAAATATTAATATATCATTTAAAAAATTTTTTCATGGCAGAAGGGGCCCACCAAGGCAAAATGCCTGGGGCCCATGAGATTCAAATGTAGCCCTGGGAAGAAGCCGGGCTTTGGGGTGCTTTGGGGTGCCCCTTTACCTCCCCCGGCCCTGCCAGCTCACACTCTCTCTGCAGGCTTCAGCTAGGAGGCCGCCTCATGCAGGAAGCCCCCCCTGCTGACCGGCAGCCCCTGGCTTGCTCCTACAGGCCTGTTTCCCACATCACAGCACGCGTCACTGTGGGCAGGGCCACTGCCTGCTCTGGAGAAGTGTCCTAACTGTGCCCTGAGTTTGGGGGTACCGCGGCCAGCCCAGCAGGGCTACAGAATTTATGGAGTCCAGTCAAAAAAGAAACGTGGGCCCCTTGTTCAGAGCATTATGAAGAATTTTGAGAAGCCGGGTCGGTAGAGCATTAGCCCAGCCGGTCCTGCAGTGCCCCCACCACGCCTGCACCCTACGGGGGCTCTGACATGCCTATGCGGGATGCATCTGTGCGCTGGCAGGAGCACTCACCAGACGCTCCCTGGCGAAGGTGCAGGCGACGGCGGTGCGACCGAAGGCCACGCGGCACTGCTCGTCAACGCCATAGTAAAGGCCGGGCTGCGCGTCTGGCATGCGCCCGGCAGGCTCGGGTTGCGGCCGCGGCGGGTCCCACACGCAGCGCGCCCGTCCTGCGCTGCGACAGGGCCGCGACTCAGGCCCCAGGTTAGTGGGATCGGGATAGAAGATGGGCGGGGGGTGCGCGCGGACCAGGCGTCAGGGGAGGAGGTGAGCACTAGGGCAGATGGCTGGGTGCGCGTGGGGGCGAGGAGAGTGGCGAATAGAGCTTGGGCAGGGAAGGGAGCTTGAGGCTCCCTACAACGCGATTGTCCCCACGTTGCAGACAGAAATCCCCAAGGCCAGAAGACATGATGTGGTTCCTCCAGGGGTGGGTTTGGGGGGGATGGAGGGTGCGTTTGGAGAGGGGATGGGGGATGGAAGGCTGCGCGCGGACAGGCGATGGGAGATGGAGGGGTGCGGAAGTGGGAGGGGCGGATGGAGGGGTGGGTGCAGTGGGGCGGGGACGATGCTGGGGTGGGAGTGCCCGTGCGCGCCCCGGCCACGCGCCGGCGCGGGCTCGGTGGAGACCTGCGGTTCGGCCCCGGCGGCGCGGAGCGGGATGGGCGGGATGGTGGGTGGCAAGCCCTGCCAGTTACCTGAGCAAGTGCTGCAGCTGTCGGCGACTACAGGCGGACCAGGCGAGAACCCCACGGGCGGGCGCGGCGCCATCGGCCGCCATCACGTGGCCGCTGGACTCGCAGCCGCTGCCGGGCGCGCCGTCGTGCTCCAGGCCGAGACTGCGGGCGAGTGGCGCTGAGAGTGGCGGCGGGCCGGTCGGCCCCGGGGCCACCTCGCGCCCAGGCCGGCCGCCGCCGGGCCGCAGCAGGGTGACTGTTTGGAGCCTGGCGCCGGGGGGAGCCAGCCTGCAGCGGCCCAGTCTCAGTTTCCCGCCCAGGACGAGGGCCGGCAGAGAGGCGCCTGTCTCTTTTGTCTAGTAAGTATCAAAAGCCTTTTAAAATGCTCAGGCCAAGCTAATCCTTGGTGTTTTAGGACTGGGGTGCGGCTGGAGGGGCCTTGAGAGGCTGCCGGTGACGTCGTCTTGATGGGGATGAGGCTAACATGGGTGTGCCCGGTAGGTGAAAACTCTTGGACTGCGTGTGCAGTGTAGTTAAGTAAACAAACAGGTGCGGGGGCATTCCCGCTCCTGGGTAGTGGAAGGCAGTGGTTTACAAACTATTTCTGCGGTTTCTAAGAGGGAGGGGGCGGAGCCAGCAGCCAGAGAGAAAAGCCGTGCTGCTTAGGTCTCAGCGGATCTGGGGAGGAGCCCCAGCCCTGTCCCCTGAGCTGTGACCCCTCCCCTGGGATCCCCCGCACCCCTGGGAATTCTACACCTCTCTATCCAGTTGAAATCACCTGGGAGTTGGGGTGGGAGCTGGTGGCAAGAAAGAGGAAGACTTCACATTTGTATTTAAAAGTCTCTGTCCTACATGTTTGAATTGTTTACAGCAGTCGGGTATTATTTTCATAATTAAAAGACTAAAAACTAAAAAAAAAAATAAAGAAAGAAACCCTACGTACATGATGGTGGATATAGGCAAAGGTTTACCCACAAGAATGCCTGATGTTCGTAACACGAAAAATCTGGAAACAGCCCTCGTGTCTGACAGGAGGGGATTAAATTGTGGCACATAAAAAAAATGTACAAGGCTTGGGATATAGTGTGACATGAATACCAGGTGACAAAGCAATGTGCAACATAATCCCAAATTTGCAAATAAAAAATTGTGTGTGTTTCTGTAAACACCAGACTGACTTTAACTATAAAACAGAAGCTCTAAGTGGTGGGACTTGGGATAATTTTTACAGCCTGCTTCTTCTTTCTCTGGATTTCCAGCAAAACTTATTTGCTAATTGCTAAGCTTGTTTTTTGTTGTGCTTATTTTATTTTTTAAGAAATAAAGTTTCTTTGACTCATTCTGTAACCAAGAAGTATCTGTTCCCCCTGCCCTCTCCCTGACCATTCCTATTCCACTGGGGTCAAGGGCACAGGCTCTTCTGGCAGGTTCTGCCAGGGCCCACTGCCTGCAATGACCTCACCCTCCTGGGGGCCTGTGGCAGCTCCTTGGCCAGAGCTTGGGGACAGTGGGTGGGGCCGCATACCTGTGCCCAATCTCATGGGCGATGGTGACCCCCAGGTCGAAGCCAGTGTCCTCGGTGATGAGGCAGCTCCAGGAGGAGGAACAGATCCCCCCAAGTTGGGTGACTCCCCGAACCTGCTGGTCACCATTTGGCAACTCGAGGTCGAACCTTGGGGAGAGAGAAGAGACATCTGGGCAGTGCTGAGGGTCTTTCTGCTGCTGGGTCGCCACAGCCAGTGGGGGCTCAGCTACCTGGTGATGTAGAGGACCAGGTCAGCGTGCTCAGGGTCCGTGTCATCCACAGGGTTGACGGCCCTGCTCCAGTCACAGACGCTCAGTAGTGACGAGGTGATGTTGGCTGTGATGTTTGGAGCATCCTGTGGGGGTGGGGGTGGGGGTCAGTAAAAAAGCTTCATTCACAGGATCCCTATCAAGTACAGGGCTGACTCATAACGACCCTGTTACTATCCCATGCTACAGATGAGGAGACTGAGGCTCAGAGGAGGGTTGGGGCCCAGCTGGGGTGCAGTCCAGGTCTCTCGGACCAGCCTTGCTGTGAGGGTTAATCTTATGTGTCAACCTGGTGAGGCTGTGGTTCCGAGTGGTTTGGCCAAACGGTAGTCTAGGCTGCTGTTCTATAATGTAATCTAATGCAGTGTGATGTAAGCACTTTCCATAATGTGACGTGAGCAATCAATCAGTTGAAAGGCGCGTGGTCTGCCTCTGGACTATAAGTAGATATTTTGGCAGAACTCGACCCCTCTCCGGATTCTGCACTCTTCCCATCTCCTGGCCTGTGGATCTGGGGACAAGAGCCATCAGGAGTCTCCAGGCTGCTTCCTAACCTACAGATTTTGGAGCTCAGCCCCCACAATCGTGTGAGCCAACCCCTTGGAGTCAGTCTCTCTCTATGTAATTGCCAGGTCTCACTGGCTGTTTCTCTAGAGAACCCTCAAACATCTGCTATTAACCACGCTGCCCCACGGCATCCACAGAGAGGGGTTAAAGAGGAGGGACACAGCTTCCGTGATTCTGGGTGACGTGGGGTGCCGAAATCCGGCTCGGAGCCTACCTCGGGCTCTGTCAGGACGATCATCTTCACCAGGTGCACTCGGAACTGAGCCCCCAAGGACGGGTCCCTCAGCAGTTCTGACCCCTGAGGAAGGGCAGACGGAGAGATGACCTATAGGCGTGTGGGGAGGGGGCGCCTGGAGAGGGTGCTCCACTCAGCGTGAGCAAGTGGGAGCCGGCGATAGAGAGATGTGCCCATGGCTGGGGAACAGGAAGGCAGACAAACGTGAAGAGAAGAAACTCCAAAACAGCTATAGGGGAGCACATGTCGTGATCATCAGCCTGGAATGTTCCGTCCAAGTGCTGATTCTCTCTGCCTTTCCTTCCTCAGCTCTGCCCTTCTGAAACACCTTTCCCACCACCTCTGCTGGCTTAACCCCTGGCACCCTGGGGCCACCTGCTCCCTGGAGCCGTTTCCTGACCCTCAGAGGAAGGCGGCCGCCCACTGCCAGCTCTCACGGCGCATCCCCAGACGCTGGTCGTGGTGGACCTGTGTTGGTTGTTTGCGTCAGCTTGTCCTCTCAATTAGATACGGCGCCCTGGCCTGAGAGGGCTTGGCTTATCCCTGGCCGCCGCTGACCCGCGTTTGAAGCCAAGCTCTGCCGCTTCCTAGGTGTGTGTTCAGAGCCTGTTAACTCACCTCCGAGCCTCGGTTTCCTCCTCTGTGAAGTGGAGAGAAAACCTCCCATGTTGCTGGCTGGCTTAGGGACAACGAGCTATGACGTGCCTGGCACGAGGTGGCCGTTCAGTGATGACAATGGCCCTCCCTACCACCGACACCACAGGGCCGGGAATAGGTCCTCTGTCGTCCGCTGAGGACCGCTCCTCCTAATGCAGGCTGAACGGCCAGAGGGGCGTGGGCTAGATTATGGAATTTCAGAACATTAGAGGTGAGGGGGGAACCCCCAAAGCTTGAAGCAGTGTTTTTCACAGAAAATATGACTTCCAGGGCTTGCTGGTGAAACTCTTAGAAGGCTTGCTCTGGACTTGGACCAAGTCTACATGCCAGGAGGGACCCAGTGGGTGGCCGGAGCCCTGGGGGACGGTGAGGTGGCCTCAGGCCCCCAGACTGGTGAGGTAGCTGGGGAGGGGAACTTTCCCTTTGTCCTGAGCGGGGGACAAAGTGGCACTAAGGACCCCCATTCTGGAAAGAGATGCCTCTGCAGGGACTGGCTCCGCCCCCAGGGCCCCTCTCCATCTCTGGAGCGGACCAGGGAGAGGAGAGGGGCCTGGAGCTGTCAGTCAGTAGCCGAGATTCATTTCTTTTCCTCAGTGTTCCCTAATTTCCATTTCCACGTATTCAGAATTTAATTTTTTTTTCAGTGTATGATTTTGTCAGTTCTTCTCCTTGCGTCTAACTTTGCTGCACTGTGATCGGTGAGTGCCACCTTACCACATGCCCCCCTTGATGTTTCTGGAAGCTTCCCTGACAGTCCAGAGCAGTCAGTCACCTTTGTAGGGGCCCTGAACGTGTGTTCTCGGGTTGTTGGGCACAGGGTTTTCTACAGACTCTCAGGTCAAACTTGATAATTAGGTTGTAAAATCACCTATTCCTTCGCTGATTTTTTTTTTTTTTTTTTTTTTGGTTTCTTGAGATGTCAATTCGTGGAGGTGCTGCCCCCTGAACCCCTTTTACCCCTAGAGGCTGAGTGAGGGGGTGCAGAGATGGGGCACCTGCAAGAAGACAGGGTGTCTGTTGAGGCTTCCCACTGGAGGAGCTGCCCTCTCCCCAACCCCCCGCATGGACAGACGAGACAACTGGAGAGAGGGTGGGGCGGGGGGCAGAGAGCAGTGGGCAGCCTGCACCCCAGGTTCCCACAGATCAAATGGCTTTTGTGAAGAGGACAGGCTGGGGGGGCAAAGGGACCCAAGTGGCAAGAGGATGTGGGTGAACTACGGAGCTGAGAGGGGGTCCCGGACCACACCCACCTCCACCCCCGGTGAGGGAAGGGAGAAGGAAGGAAAGAGCACACCCCTTCTCTCCCCACTCCAGGGGCCCTGAGCTCCGGCCGGACCCCAGCCTCAGGTTCACACCCACACTCAACCCACCGAGGTCAGGTCTTTGGACAAGGTGGCTCGCTGGTGTTTCTTCACAAGCCCCAGCCAGGTGTGGGGTACGGCACCCAGAGACCACAGGATGGGGGTGGCAGGGCGCCATCCTCACAGACTGCCTATTGCCCCTGGAGGCCTGAGTCCAACTCCCCGGGCTGGTCAGCCTGCCCAGAGCCCCCCGCCGCACCCCCCGAGGACACTCACGATGTTGAGGTTGGTGAGCATGTAGCGCTCTGTGTCCTCCTGGTGGGCCTGGTAGACATCGGGGCCCACGGCCACCAGCAGCTCCAGGTGCAGGACACTCCCTGCAGCCCGTGTCTGTCTCCGGAGACGAGGGGAGGGAGGACGGCCTGTCGGGGAAGGAGGGAGGGCTGGGAGCACTGTTCTAGGAAGCCCCACAGCTGGCCTTTCTGTCACCCATGCTCCTGGCCTGGAGGCAGACATGTGGCATGGGAGCCCCACCTCTGCACCTGCTGCTCGACTTTCTCAAGGGAAATAGGGAGTGTGAGAATTCTTACCTTACATGGGGTGTCGGGTAATGTGTTTCCCACTCCCCCCCCAACCAAAAACATATCCTGAAGTCCTAACCCCGCTAGCTGTGAGTGTGACCTTGTTTGGAAAGGGTCTTAGTTAAGTTCACATGAGGTCTCGCTGGACAAGGGTGGGCGCTGATCGAATATGAAGGGTGTGCTGTAACAAAGAGGAGAAGAGATGCAGGGACACGCCAGGTGACAATGGAAGTGGGGATGGGAGTGATGTGGCTACAAGCCAAGGACCGCCGGCAGCCCCAGCGGCTCAGAAAGGCACAGACGCCCCCTAGAGCCTCCAGAGGGAGCGCAGCCCTGCTGCCACCTTGACTGCAGACTTCAGACCCCCAGAACTGTGAGGCAACAAGTTTCTGTTGTTTTAAGCCACCCCGTGTGCAGTCCTCTGTTATGGGCTCTGAGGATCCATGGCCTCGTCACTCCCCGCCCCCCACACTGGGCGCCCAAGGTTTTCACTCTCCCAGACATTTGTAAAGGGCACCAATCATGGACACTTCGGCCCTCATGCTCCTCAGGAGTAAGTGCGCTTGCTGGAAGGGGTTGAGGCGCTCAGGGCTCTCGATGTCACATGATTTGGGGACTGTCAGACAAAGGGCTGGGGCACTAACAGGGAGAGGCTAGGGGTGAGGAAGGAAGGCCTTCTGAAATCAAGGCACTTCCCATTTCCCCCACCCCAAGGCCCAGATCCCACTGGCGGTGGGGTGCTTCGGGGCAGCGGGCAGCGTCGGGGCTGGGACAGACCTAGTACAGCTAGTGCATCCTCGGTCACCGCAGGGGACAGCTTCCCCTGCCCCATGGCTCTGTCCAAAGTACTAAGCCTCTGCCTCCCAGACCCCCCTCTAGAGGGGGGTCGCCCCAAGGCAGCAAGGAAAGCCCACTACACCCCCATTGGCACGCGGATGCAGCATGGCCGAGAGAGGGCTCCAATGGCATCGTCTACAGCCCTGGAGGAGCCTCGCCCGTCCTCCGGCCTTGGGGCGCCCATTGCAGTGCTGCCGACCAGTCGCCCAGCCCTGCCCATCTCAGGCTTTGAGGTTCCAGGACTGTGTGTCTGTGGGCAGTGGTGTAAACTGAAGGGCCATTCAGGGGTGGGTAGTGACCTGCCCACCAGCTACAGCTCAGCATGAGGCACGGCTGGTGGCTGCTGGGAACCCCCCTGCACCCTCAGGGAATGGGCTGTTCTGTGCAGCGTCCACCCAGGGTATCCTCCCTCCCAGGATATGTACCTCGGACCCGCCCCGGGGCACTGGGGGCGAGGCTGTGGACCAGGTGGGGCCAGGCACGACTCCAGGGCAGGGCCAGCGTGCTGTGCTCCCTCCTCACGGGCTGGACATAGAGCCGCTCCCCGCCCAGCAGGATGTCACCCTCCTGGAGGAGAGAGAGGCCTCCTGGCGCACACGGCCCAGTCCCCGAGGAGAAGGGCCTCTCTGGGGACAACTGCCCCTGAGCACCTCCTACTCGTCCCCAAGTCCAGGGTCCACAAGGGAGACGGAGATCCAAGCCTTCTGGGGCCACACTCACGGCCACCCCGTGCTGCTCACCTCACAGCCCCCACCCTGACCCCCACACCCATGGCCTCTACACCCTCCACAGGGGCCCCACGGGAGCGGAGGGGGCTGTGAGGGATCAGCTAGGCCTGGGCTGGTGAGCAGACTGACCCCAAAGGGCATCTGTCCAGCCAGGCTGTGCCTCCTCGGCCCAGAACCCAGGGCGGTGGTGTGGATAATGATAAAACAGCTTCCATGAGCCCCAGGCCCTGGGGACATGCTGTCCTCAGCATGGCGCAGGAGGCAGGCACCCCCATCTCGAGCCCCATCCCAGTGGCCCTCCAAGGCAAGCCTGTCATAATGGTGACGGGGGTTTGAACCCAGCAGGCTGACTCCAACCCCAAGTTCTTTTCACGCCCCAGTTCCCTGGGCGAAGTTTGTACCCAAATCTGCCGCTCAGTAACTAGGTAACCCTGGAAGCCCGCTCAGCTTCCCCGAGTGCACTTCCTTCCCTGGGACACACCCCTCGTAGGATTTGAAATGAGCCCCAAAGACCCAAGCGTAATTATCACCACATCCGCCCCCACCAACGTGCCCCTGACACCCCCTCTGGTGCCACCCACACTCCACTTACCACGCGGCCTGAGCAATAGGTGACCCTGGCGACGGCACCCGGGGGCAGCAGGGCCCAGCCCCCTGTGAGACAGTAGGCAGAAGGCCGCTGCAGCCACTGGAGTGAGGCGTTCACCACCCGCTCACTGGTGGAGGCGGGCGTGAGGAGGCCCGGCTCAGGCCCGAAGGAGAAGGCGAAGCGCTGGCCCCAGGCGCGCAGGCAGCAGCGTGGGGCTTGGCAGGGCGGCCCCCCGAGCCCGTCCTCGCAGACACAGGTGAGCAGGGCCACGGCAAACCGGGACGCTGCAGGAAAGAGGAGGCACCCTCACCACCCGACTCGGCGCCGCCAGGCCTTCCTGCCCAGGGGAGCGAACGAAGCTCTTCCCTTGGGTGAAATTACCAGGGAAGAGCACTGGCCTGGAGCCGGGCCTGGGTTCTAGTCCAGCCCTCCCAGCTCTCTGGGTGGTGGACAGCCCAGCCCTCTTAGCACTTGGGGTGGTGGACGGCCCAGCCCTCCAGGCTTGTGGGACGGTGGATGATCCAGCCCTCCTAGCTCTTGGGGTGGTGGATGGCCCAGCCCTCCTAGCTCTCGGGGTGGTAGACGGGTAAGCCCTCCCAGATCTCAGGGCGGTGGACAGGCAAGCCCTCCAGGCCCGTGGGTTGGTGAACAGCCCAGCCTCCAGGCTTGTGGGGCAATGGACGGCCTAGCCCTCCAGGCTCTGGGGCAGAGGTTGGCCCGGCCCACCAGGCTTGTGGGGTGGTGGACAGTCCAGCCCTCCAGGCTCGTGGGGTGGTGGATGGGAAGTTGCTTTTCTTCCCTGGCCCTTATCACCAGGGCTGAATCAGTGCTTTGCAAACTAGTTTTCTGCCTTGGAACACTTGTGTCGTGATTTCATGAACCCCAATATACACACTAAGTACAGCGGGACCTCTCTGGTTTATGTGGAAAGCAGGAGCCCAAAGTCTGGCCCACCGATCCCTCTTCCCCACTCTCCGCCCTGAGGGAGCCCTGTCAGAGGTCCCGTGGCTCTCCAGGAGCAGGGCTGGGATGGGTCTGGGGCCCCTAGATCTCCAGGAGCAGGGCTGGGACGGGTCTGAGGTCCCCTGGCCCTATAGGAGGAGCAGGGCTAGGACGGGTCAGGGGTCCCCTGGCCCTGTAGGAGGAGCAGGGCCGGGACGGGTCTGGGGCCCCTAGCTCTCCAGGAGCAGGGCTGGGACAGGTCTGGGGCCCCTAGCTCTCCAGGAGCAGGGCTGGGACGGGTTTGGGGCCCCTAGCTCTCCAGGAGCAGGGCTGGGATGACTGAGTATGTGTGGCATGATTCCCCAGCCCCCCGCCTCCAGCTAGCTTAGGCCCCAGACCACGGGGAGTCCAGTTACAAGTGGGGCGTCCTCTCGCTCTCTCCACCCCGGCTGCTCGTCTGCCCTGCCTCTGGCCGCCACATCACCATGGCCCTACACTTGGAAAGGCAGCCAAAGAAGTCCCTAGACAGACTGACCAGCAGTGGGGGAGGGCCTTCATCACAGGAAATCCAGAGGCAGGGGCTGGGGGACGACCCCGCTCCTATCTGGTCTCTCACAGAAGGAATAAATATTTACATCCACTGCCAGAACCCACCAAGGGTTCCTGAAAACCAGCCAGGCCAGCAAAGGCCTAGGGGTGAGGGCCAGCTTATTAGCGCCATTGCCTTGAGATACTTCACAGGACCCTGGGGGCAGAACCCAGCTCGGGCAAGAGGCCAGAAAAGCCTTTATCATCTTGGCAGGAAGTAACTGACTTAATTATCAGGCTCCTACCAGGTCCTCAGAGCCCGGCCCAGGGCTCAGTCCTCCAACAAGAAGTCACAAGATAGCCCCCCAAGCCTGGGAAACTCCCCCTGTAAGAAGACATCAGAAAAGTACCTTTTACGGCAGAACCCGGGCCAAAGTACGAAGCCGCCTCCGCTGGCTCCAAAGCCTGAAGAAACCTCTGTAAGACACCGAAGGACAAACGGGGAGGGTGCGGGGGGGGTGGGGGGACAGGGCAAGAACAAGGAGGACAGGGCAAGACAGAGGAGATGGGGGAGGAAGAGAGCCTTCGAGAACGGAGAGGCAGAGAGAGCCGCTCACAGACTTAGGAGGAACGTGCCTGCCTCTGGCCTGGCACACGCTGCTGAGAAACTGCTTCTTCGGGGAGCACAACCTGCGCGAACCCCAAAGCTGCCGTGGTCGGCTGAACGGACACACCCGCCTCCCGAGTGCTGAGGGACACCACCCTCCAGGTGACCCCGCCTGTGGACCCAGAGAGCTCAGCCCCCCAGCCCCGGGCTCCCCGGACACTGTCGCCCCTGCAGACGCACCCACCTGCTGCAAAGCGGAGATTCCGCGGCAGCCCAGGAGAAAGACGGTGGCTGCGAGGAGGCCCCCCAGGCCGGCCTTGCGGAGAAGGGGGCGTCTCCCCCAGCACGGTAGCCCCTGCATCTCGGGAAAGCCCATCCGAGGAGGCAGCGTTGGGACTGTCTGGGCAGCTGGACCTCGACAGAGCTGGCTGGGCGGGACCGTCAGGGGCCTTCACTCTCGGGAGCCTCCTGCCGGCCCGCAGGCTGCAGCGCTCCAGCTCCTCTGAAGGCGACCTGGCCCTGGCTGTGGAACGCTTCTCAGCTGAGAGCACCCAACCTGGTTCCCGGTTTGTAAGGGACAACTGTGCCCCTGCCCCCTGGAGAGCCCTCCACTGCATACACCCGCCACAGGGGCAGGGAGGGCCTGCAGTCCAGCCTGGAGGAGGAGATGTGAGTTCACAGTGTGTGAGACCTGGGTCGGTTCCCTTTGGATCTCTGCTGCCCTGTCTGATCAAACGGGACTAAAAACCAAACCCGTTGCTGTCGAGTTGATTCTGCTCATGGTGACCCCGCGTATGTCAGAGTAGAACGGCTCCATGGAGTTTTCTTGGCTGTAATCTTACCAAAGTAGATCACCAGGCCTTTCTTCCACAGTGCCACTGGTGGATTTGAACTGTCAACCTTTTGGTTAGTAGCTGAGCACAAACTGTGGCACTCAGGGACCAAAGAGTTGGCTGCACCAAAGGCATGCCAGCTCCTCCGCTGGCTTTGCGTCCAGCAACCCTCTGGGCCAGACCGCTCACCTGTGGCCCCCCTATTATTCCCTACTCAGCCCTCTCCTTACACAGTGTGGAATTCCATGCCCACCACCACACATGCTTCCTTGCAAACACCCCTAATGCTCTTGCCTCACTTCCTCCACTCCCGCGTGCCCCCATTAAACTCAACTCTACCTGGTCCTGCCTCACCCTGTGGAGAGGGTCACAGACCAGGCTGAGTGACGGCAACACTCTGGATGCACCACCAGAAGCCACCTGGCAACCCCACTCCACTTTCTGGAAGGTTCTCGTTCATACTGTCTGTATTAGACAGGGAGATTACACATACAAAGTCAGGAATCATGGTGGCACAACTGGTTAAGCTCTCAGCTGCTGACTGAAAGGTTGGCAGCTCAAATCCACCAGCAGCTCCACTGCAGAAAGACCTGGTGATCTGCTTCCATAAAGATTGCATCCTAGACTACTCTATGGGGCAGTTCTACTCTGTCACATGGGGTCCCTATGACTCAGAATCAACTCAACGGTGGCACACACAACAACAACACATATACAAAGTGTATGTAGATAGATAGATATGCAAAATATATATGTATAAAAGTATATGTTGTTAGGTGCCATCAAGTTGGTTCTGACTCATAGCAAGCCCATGTACAACAGAATGAAACATTACCCAGTCCTGCCCCATCCTCACAATTGTTGCTATGTTTGAGCCCATTGTTGCAGCCACTGTGTCAGTTCATCTCGCTGAAGGTCTTCCTCTTCACTGACTCTCTACTTTACCAAGCATGATGTCCTTTTCCAGGGATTGGTCCCTCCTGATAACACATCCAAAGTGTGTGAGATGAAGGCTTGCCATGCTTGCTTCTAGGGAGCACTCTGGCTGTACTTCTTCCAAGACAGACTTGTTCGTTCTTCTGGCAGGCCAAGGTCTATTCAATATTCTTCACCAACACCATAATTCAAATGCATCAAATAAAAAATATATATGTACTAAATATGTACATATGGAAACCCTGGTGGCGTAGTGATTAAGAGCTTGGCTGCTAACCAAGAGGTGAGCAGTTCGAGTCTGCTAGCTGCTCCTTGGAAACCCTAAGGGGCAGTTCTACCCTGTCCCATAGGGTCAGTATGAGTTGAAATTGACTCAATGGCAGTGGGTTTGGGTTTTTTTGGTATATACATATGTGTGTGCATATACATGTATGTGTACAAAATATATAGAGATTTAAGGAATTGGTTCATGTGATAATATCAAAAATCCATTGCTATTGAGTTGATTGTGATTCATAGCGACCCTATAGGACAGAGTAGAACTGCCCCATGGAGTTTCCGAGGCTGTGATCTTTACAGAAGCAGACTGCCACTTCTTTCTACCTCAGAGGGGCTGATGGGTCCGAACTGCCAAACTTTTGGTTAACAGCCGAGTGCTTAACCACTGGGCTCCTTCCACATGATAATAAGCTGAAAAAAACCAAACCCATTGCTGTCGAGTCGATTCCGACTCATAGTGATCCTATAGGACAGAGTAGAACTGCCGCATAGGGTTTCTAAGGAGTGGCTGGTGGATTCAAACTGCCGACCTTTTGGTTAGCAGCCGTAGCTCTTAACCACTGCACCACCAGGACTCCCCACATGATAATAAGCCAAAAAAAACCCAAACCCATTGCCATCATAGTGACGCTGTGGACAGGGTAGAACTGCCCCATGGAGTTTCCAAAGAGCAGCTGGTGGATTTGAACTGCCAACCTTTTGATTAGTAGCCCTAACTCTTAACCACTGCGCCACCAGGGCTCCCACATGATAATAAGGGCTGGCAAATCCAAAATCAATACATCAGGAAGCAGGCTGAAAACTCCAGCAAGATGTATAAGTTACAGTCTTGCAGCAGAATCCTTCTCCCTTGGGAAACCTTTGGTTCGACTCTTAAGGCCTTCTACTGATTGGATCAGGCCCACCCACATTGTGGATGGTCATCTGCTTTACTTAAGGTCAACTGATTTCATCACACGTGACTACCTCATTACAGCATCTTGACTAGTGCTTGACTCAACAACTGGGCACCACAGTCTCATCAAGTTGACACATGAAATTCCCCTTCACACTCTTCAAACTACTGTTTTATACCCTCTACACCTCCAGGCCCGCCCCTACCCCTGGCACTCAGCTGAGGCCCAGCGGGGGAGCACCTGCCTGCCTTGCCCCTTCTCCCTTCCTGTGTTACCAAGGAGGACTTAAGACGGGCTGGGGATCCCCTCCCACCCTCTCACCTCCTCCAAGACTTTCTCCTGCAGTTCTCTTCTCCCTCCTGCACCACTAGTCTCTGCCATCCGCTAGATTCATTCATTCCTTCCTTCACTCCAGAAATATCGAGTTGAGGTCCTACAGTGTGCCAGGCGCTGTGCCAGACATGAGAGTCCCTCATGAACCAAGCAGACAGCAGACTCTGCCCTTTCAGAGCTTATGTTCCAGAGGGGTGAGTCAGACAATTAACTTACTAAATGCATAAATGAAATACAGCAGTGTTATGGGTTGAAGATAGGAGCCATGGTGCCCCAGTGGTTAAAGCGCCCAGCTGTCCAGCTTTTGCATGCATACAAGGCAATTGAAAACACCATGGATTGGGTGAGGCGCACCTTAGACCTTTAAGTGACTTCTTTGCTTTTCAACACTTTAAAGAGGTCTTTTGCAGCAGATTTGCCCAATGCAATGGGTCTTTTGATTTCTTGACTGCTGCTTCCATGGGTGTTGACTGTGGACCCAAGTAAAATGAAATCCTTGACAACTTCAGTCTTTTCTCCGTTTATCATAATGTTGCTTATTGGTCCAGTTGTGAGGATTTTTGTTTTATGTTGAGATGTAATCCATACTAAAGGCTGTGGTCTTTGATCTTCATCAGTAAATGCTTTAAGTCCTCTTCACTTTCAGCAAGCAAGGTTGTGTCATCTGCACAACGCAGGTTGTTAATGAGTCTTCCTCCAATCCTGATGCCCTGTTCTCCTTCATATAGTCCAGCTTCTCTGATTATTTGCTCAGCTTACAGACTGAATAAGTATGGTGAAAAGACACAACCCTGATGCACACCTTTCCTGACTTTAAACCACATTAGTATCCCCTTGTTCTGTTTGAACAACTGCCTTTTCGTCTATGTACAGGTTCCTCATGAGCACAATTAAGAGTTCTGGAATTCCCATTCTTCGCAATGTTATCCATACACAGTCGAATGCCTTTGCAAAGTCAATAAAACACAGGTAAACATCTTTCTGGTATTCTCTGCTTTCAGTCAAGATCCATCTGACTTCAGCAATGATATGCCTTGTTCCATGTCCTCTTTTGAATCTAGCTTGAATTTCTGGCAGTTTCCTGTTGATGTACTGCTGAAAATTGCTTTTGAATGATCGGCAAAATTTTACTTGTGTTTGATACCAATGATATTGTTTGATAATTTCTGCATTCGGTTGGATCACCTTTCTTTGGAATGGGTACAAATATGGATCTCTTTCAGACAGCTGGCCAGGTAGCTGTCTTCCAAATTTCTTGGCATAGATGAGTGAGCACCTCCAGCACTGTGTGCATTTATTGGAACATCTCAATTGATAGTCCGTCACTTCCTGGAGCCTTGTTTTTCACCAACGCCTTCAGTGTAGCTTGGACTTCTTCCTTTAGTGCCGTCAGTTCTTGATCATATGCTACCTCCTGAAATGGTTGAACGTCAACCAATTCTATTTGGTAGAGTGACTCTCTGTATTCCTTCCATCTTCTTTTGATGCTTCCTGCATCGTTTAGCATTTTCCCCATGGAATCCTTCAACATTGCAACTCGAGGCTTGAATTTTTTTCTCCAGTTGTTTCAGCTTGAGAAATCCATGTTCTTCCCTTTTGGTTTTCTAACTCCAGGTCTTTGCACATTTCATTATAATACTTTACTTTGTCTTCTCAAGCTGCCCTTTGAAATGTTCCATTCAGCTCTTTGACTTCATTTCTTCTTTCGCTTTAGCTACTCACCGTTCAAGAGTAAGTTTCAGAGTCTCTTTTGACATCCATTTTGGTCTTTCCTTTCTTTCCTGTCTTTTTAATGACCTCCTGCTTTCTTCACGTATGATGTCCTTGATATAATCCCACAACTTGTCTGGTCTCCGGTCATTAGCGTTCAGTGTGTCAAATCTCTTCTTGAGATGGTCTCTAAATTCAGGTGGGATATACTCAAGGTCATACTTTGGCTCTCATAGACTTGTTTTAATTTTCTTCAGCTTCAACTTGAACTTGCATAGGAACCATTGATAGTCCGTTCCACAATTGGACCCTAGCCTTGTTCTGACTGATGATGTTGAGCTTTTCCATTGTCTCTTTCTATAGATGTAGTTGATTTGATTCCTGTGTATTCCATCTGGCAAGATCCACGTGTAGAGTCACCATTTATGCTGTTGAAAAAACTATTTACAATGAAGAAGTTGTTGGTCTTGAAAAATTCTATTATGCGATCTCCAGCATAGTTTCTATCACCAAGGCCATATTTTCCAACTACCAATCCTTCTTCTTTTCCAACTTTTGCATTCCAATCACCAGAAATTATCAATGCATCTTGATTGCATGCGTGATCAATTTCAGACTGTGTTGTTGTTGTTAGGTGCCGTCGAGTCGATTCTGACTCATAGAGACCCTGTGTTCCACAGAATGAAACACTGCCCCGTCCTGCACCATGCTCACAATCGTTGCTATGCTTGAGCCCATTGTTGCAGCCACTGTGTCAGTCCATCTCGTTGAGGGTCTTCCTCTTTTTCACTG